AAGATATCAAAAACTTGTCAACTGATAAAATGTAGCGGTTAACTTGATAAACATTTTATCAGTTAACCGTTTTTTGATATCTTTTACAAAAAATGAGATAATTGAGCTCAAATGTATATATGCAATGAAACTGGTCGATGCACCATGTCTGCATCTCTCAAAGTTTGTACTAAATGGCTTCTAACTTTGAGCCAATTTAGCTCGGTTTCTGTAAAAGATATCAAAAAGTGGTCAACTGATAAAATGTTAGTGATGTTCTGATAAACATTTTATCTGTCGAAAAGTTTTTTATATCTCTTACGGGAACCGAGATAATTCAGCTTAAAGTTGATGGTTTGGGAGGGCTTGATTCTTCAAATTTTTTTAGCTTTTTTTTTGAACCTTCGAAATTTCAGAAAATTTCGAAAACGGTAACTTTTGAGAAGCAGTACTGTCTTGTCTGAATAGAATACCGAAAATCCGATTTCTTGTTTTCAGTCATCTACAGTACTCGGCAACAATTGATATTTTGACTGCAGTTGAAAAGTAGTCAGTTTTGAAGTCCGAATTGTCTGAAAATATCAGGCTATGCTAAACAGAAATAGAGCTCTAATTTTGCAGTTGACAACTTTTTTGTAAAATATCATCCAAATGAGATATGCGGCTTGAAGGCCAAAAATGTCAAATGAACACTTGAATGAGAGTTGACCCCCCTATTTAAAACTGATTTATCTCGCTTGGCTGAAAACTTACAAAAAAGTTGTCAACTACAAAATTGCAGCTCTATGTTTGTTTAATATACGCTGAAATTTTCAGACAAATCGAAACATTCTGGAGTAGTTTTGTAGAAGTAGTTTTGTTCAAAATACCTGAATTTTTGATCAGGAAATTTTTATTTGCCTTGATTTTCAATGCCAAATTCGAATTCCCCGCAAAATTTGGGTCCGGGCACTGGAAGGTAGAAGTTTCTAGCGTTATTTGGAGATTTTCGGGGTTACTGTAGCCCGGAAAGTACGCAAACACCGAATTTTCATGAAAATCGAGCTTTTGAGCTTATTTTGAGAGGGTAAACCAATTTGACTATGGGAAAAACGAATTTGGCGTTAAAAATAGTCCTAAAGGTCGTTTTGTCGGTGTTTGCGGACTTTTGGAGCTACAGTAAATTCTGGAGTAGTTTTGTAGAAGTAGTTTTGTTCAAAATACCTGTTTTTCACTGAAAAAGTCAAACAATTATCATTTTTGGCGGGGGTACTGTATGTACTTCTTATATTGCACTTTTTTTGAGTTGTAAATCAAAATTATGAGTCTTAAAAGCATCTTGACACTTTAAGATCTGCCAACCACCTGTTTCAAAGTGTCTCTAAACAGACAGACAGGGTAGACGTGTCTTGTCACCAGCCATCTGGTGAGAAGAGTCGCTCCCCTCTGTCTAGACATGTTTCTTTCCCCTAAGAACAGATATTCTTGGGTCACTTGGGTTACGTTTTTTTTTTGTTTTCAGAGAATCAATATAATCCATTCCTATACATTTTAATTGAGGTTAAAAACCCCGTTTTTCCGCCATTGTTAGTTCAATTTTCTGAATTTTTTCTTGAAACCTGAATTTCGTAAATTTTCAAACTGAAAATCTTAGTTTTCCCGGTGGAATCTGATGTGAAATTTTGCGTTCTTTATTTTACTAATTGACCGTTTTTCGCTGGGACCTCTAGTTTTTGAGATAATTCCCAATGAATCGGCGACATGGTGCATCGACTCTACTCATAATGACTTTAGACCAATTTTAGACCATTTTGGTCCAAATTTTTGATTTTTGAACTTTTTCAAACATCAAAACATAATTTTCGACATCAGAAACAGTTGAAAACACAAAATTTAACCCTAGAAACCCCTAAAATTGACATTTTCGAGCATTTTCCAGAAAAGTGCTCAAATGGCTCAGTGGGATTTTTCATGAGTTTTCTACCAATCTGACGACCCGGGTTCAAACCCCACAGAGGCTAATTATTTTTTGCTTTTATCGCTGAGCTCGAAAATAGGAATTTGAAGCTCGAAATCTGAAAATTGATGATTTTTGGGTTCAAAAAATGGGTTTTCTTGAAAAAGAGAGCATAAAAGCTTTGGAGCCTATTTTTTTTTAATTGTTTAAATCGATTCCAGTGTTAAATCTTACGTTCTACATTTTTCTAGTTGACCATTTTTTGCTGGGACCTCTAGTTTTTGAGATATACCCCCAAGGAATGGGCGATATGGTGCATCGACTATCCCCAAATTGATTTTAGACCAATTTTAGACCATTTTGGTCCGAATTTTCTCTAATTTTCAGAATTGAATATAATGTAAAATTTGATGTTCTACATTTCCCTGATTGACAGTTTTTAGCTGGAACCTCTAGTTTTTGAGATGTGACTCCTAAGGAATCGGCGACATGGTGCATCGACTTTCCCCTGAATGACTTTAGATCCATTTTGGTTGGACCACTTTGGTCCAAATTTTCTAGAATTCTCAAATTGGATTCTAATGTAAAATTTTATGTTCTACAACTTTTTAGTTGATTTTTTTTTGCTAGGATCTGTAGTTTTTGAGATATTGGCCAAGGAATAGGCGATATGGTGCATCGACTCGTCCCAATATGGGGAGAGCCTGCCTTTTGACTTATTTTTGACCATTTTGGTCCAAATTTTCTAGAATTCTCAAATTGGATTCTAGTGTAAAATTTCAAGCTCTACATTTTTCTAGTTGACCATTTTTTGCTGGGACTTCTAGTTTTTGAGATAAACCCCAAGAATAGGCGATGTGGTGCATCGACTCCAAACTTATCCAATTTTAGACCCATTTTACCTCCCGAAACCATAAAACCTGTCGTAAAAATGTATCACTTTTTATATTCCAGCTACGCAACTGTACAACCAACCCAACCTTCATAAAATCACTATTTTTTTTTGGGGGGGGGGGGGAAGGGGGGACAAACATTAGTCATCGAGAGTCGGTACTTTTTCTCTTTTTTCCAATTCTTTTTTTGGGTTTTTGACAATAGGAGGAACATACAAATTGCATGTGTATGTCTTGATGTACAAAAAAATGGATGTTTCATTTTTTTTTTGGGTGTGGCTTTTTTGAGCTAGAAAATTGGAGCCGAAATTTCTGAATTTTTCCGATTTTTGGATTTTTTCTGAAATCCAATTTTAGAAGCTTGAATTCTATGAAAGATTCTAGCATAAAATTGTATGCTCTACATTTTTCTAGTTGACCATTTTTTGCTGGGACCTCTAGTTTTTGAGATATACCCCTGAAATGGTGCATCGACTTGAGAATTTTGAGAATTATGCCATTTTTGATCAATTTTAAAGCGGTTTTCCAGCCTTTCAGAAGGTTTTTACAGTTTTGAAAGCGTTTTCGACATTAAAGTAAAAAAACACAATTTTTGACCCTAGATAACCCCTGAAATCCCAATGATAAGGGGATATGGTGCATCCACTCGAAAATTGCGAAAATTAGTTTATTTTTGATCAATTTTCGGCTATTTTTCTAGTTTTTTTTTGTGTTTCTTCAATTTCAAAATTTTTTCAGACATCAAAAACATTAGCAAACACAAAATTTGACCCTAGAAACCGCTAAAATTGACATTTTCGAGCATTTTCCAGAAAAGTGCTCAAATGGCTCAGTGGGATTTTTCATGAGTTTTCTATCAATCTGACGACCCGGGTTCAAACCCCACAGACGTTTTTTTATTTTTTGCTGTTTTTTCTGAGCCTAAAAACAGAAATCTGGAGCTCTAAAAGTGAAAAGTGAGAGATTTAGAGTTTTTTCGGCGCCAAAAATTCCAAATATGATGACTTCCAATTTTCGAGCTGTCAAAGTGTATTTCTGGATTTTTCAAAAATTGATTCTTATGAAAATTGAATTTTCTACATTTTTTTAGTTAGCCAATTTTTGCTGGGACCTCTAGTTTTTAAGATATACCCCAAGGAATAGGGGATATGGTGCATCGACCCAATATATTGGAAAAAAGACCGTTTTTGACCGATTTTCGCGCATTTTTTTTGGTTTTTTAAAGTTTTGCAATGATCAAAGCATATTTTGACATTTTAAACCTTAAAAACACATTATTTGACAATGAGAAACATAAAAATTGACGTTTTTGGGAGATTTTGAAAAATTCCCGGAAACCGGCCAATTTCGACTAATTTTTCGCTTACTTTGAAGTTTTTTAGCCGTTTTCCTCTATTTTCGTAGTTTGTTGACATCAAAAACAGTTTGAAACACAAAATGTGACCCTAAAAACCCTTCAAAATTGACATTTTCGAGCATTTTCCGAAAAAGTGCTCAAATGGCTCAGTGGGATTTTTCATGAGTTTTCTACCAATCTGACGACCCGGGTTCAAACCCCACAGACGTTTTTTATTTTTTGCTGTTTTTTCTGAGCCTAAAAACAGAAATCTGGAGCTCAAAAAAGCACATTTGCGGGTTTTCGAGTTTTTGAATCCAAAAAATTACAAGAAATGGATCTTCCAGTTTTTGAGCAGCCAAATTATATTTTTGGAATTTTTTAAAAATTGGTTCTTTTGTGAAATTTTATGTTCTACATTTTCCTAGTTAAACATTTTTTGCTGGGATCTCTAGTTTTTGAGATATAGCCCCCAAGGAATAGGCGACATGGTGCATCGACCAGAGAATTGGGACCAATTTTAGACAATTTTGGCTCAATTTTTTTGAAAGTTTCAAAATGGTATGCACTCTAAAACTTAACGCTCTACATTTTTCTAGTTGAACATTTTCTGCTAGGACCTCTAGTTTTTGAGATATACCCCCAGGGAATAGGAGACATGGTGCATCGACTTGCCCCATTATGAAGAGAGCCTGCCTTTTGCCTCATTTTATACAATTTGGACCAAATTTTCTGGGTTTTCTAATATTGGTTTTGGTGTAAAATTAAACGCTCTACATTTTTCTAGTTGACCATTTTCTGCTGGGACATCTAGTTGTTTAGATATGCCTTAAAAACTATTATATATCACTAAAATTTACCAACCTTGAGACGGAGCTCGTCTAAACGTTGGTGTTGGCGTTGGTGGCAAATCATCATATCTGGGATTTGCTAATCTTGACGGCGTAGCTGTATAAAATCCGTTTCCATGTCCATTTTGCTGCTGGCTGACTCCCAAATCAATTGGTGTCCCAACACGACTGTCGGGGAATGGTGACTCGGCATTTCTGGCGCGAATTTCGGAGACAGTTTTGGCAAGAGCGGTGGAGTAGACTGAAAAACAGAATTTTGAGCGGAAAATGACCTGATAAACCCTGAAAAATTGTCTGAAATTGCTGAAAATGACCCAAATTAGTCCAAAATGTCGAAAAAAAATTTCAAAAAAAATTTTCAGATTTCCACTTCTAAAATGATATTTTCAGCATTTTTAGACACTACAAAAAAACAAAAAAAATTTGGACCCCAGTGGGTTTGAACCCACAACCCTTCGCACCAGCCAAAAAACCCATTGAGCCATATGGACACTTTTTGGAAAATTTTTTTTGAAAATTTCAAAATGGTATGCACTCTAAAACTTAACGCTCTACATTTTTCTAGTTGAACATTTTCTGCTAGCACCTCTAGTTTTTGAGATATAGCCCCACGAACTTTGCCCTACCCATCATTTTCCCTTTTCATCAATGAATAGGGAATGGCGCATGGCGCCATTATCATGTCTTTCTTCTTTCTCTGGTTCAACGTGTGTGTGTGTGTGTATCTCTTTTTAATGTCGGTATTCGGAAAAGAAGAAGAAGAAGAAGAAGACGGCACGTCTTCTTCTTCTTCTTTTCTTGTTTGACAGCAGGAACTGCCTCCTTTTGATTTTATATGTTTGTACGATTTCTCCTGGTGTTTTTCTCTGCTTCTCTCTCGCTTACTAGACAGTTTTTGGGTACATTTTTGCGGGAAATTGAGAAGTTTGTGTTTTCGTTTCATTTTGGAAAATTGATTGCAAAATTCTTTACAAGGCGAACCTTTTAAGTAGGTAAGATGATCCGCAAAAACCAACCGTAGAGAATGAAAGAGCATGTTTGAAAACCTGTAAAACCGTTTTCAAAGTCTGCTTACGAGACCTCTGAAGTGCCGAAATTTCAGTTTCAGTACCAAAAATCGCCTTTTCAGTGCAAATTTTGCGATTTTCAAATATTATTAACAAGGGGGGAGGTTTTTTAGACAACGGTTGAGAATTTGCTCAAAATTTGCAAGTTCAGAAATTCAGAAATTCAGAAATTCAGAAATTCAGAAATTCAGAAATTCAGAAATTCAGAAATTCAGAAATTCAGAAATTCAGAAATTCAGAAATTCAGAAATTCAGAAATTCAGAAATTCAGAAATTCAGAAATTCAGAAATTCAGAAATTCAGAAATTCAGAAATTCAGAAATTCAGAAATTCAGAAATTCAGAAATTCAGAAATTCAGAAATTCAGAAATTCAGAAATTCAGAAATTCAGAAATTCAGAAATTCAGAAATTCAGAAATTCAGAAATTCAGAAATTCACCAAATCAGAAATTCACCAAATCAGAAATTCAGAAGTTCGGGAATTCTGATAATATGTAAGCTTTTGGAATTATTTTGGATATTTTTGAAAAATTAAAGAATTACTGAGTTATCAAAAACTTTGGATATTTAGGATTCCGTGGAACTTGAGGATTTTTTTTCAAATTTCAAAAGTTTGATAAATTCTTAAGTTAGTTTTTTTATTATACTAGAAAAATTTAGGAATTTTCAGAAGTTAGGTTTTTTTAGATTTTAAAATATCTTATCAATTTGATGATTTTTTCAGATTTTCAGAAGATTCTGCATTTCTGATTATTTGCATTTCCGAATTTTCAAAATTTTCAGCATCTGGGGTTTTGCGGATTGAAGATATCGGAATTTAGGAAATTCTAAAAATTTGTCTCTAATTTTTAGAGTTTTTGGGAATTTTAAGTTTTTTGATTTTCATGACTTTGAGATTTCAAGAGTTCTGAAAAGACTGAGATTTTAAAAACTTTTTTTTTCGAATTTCGGAAATTTAAATTTTTCCAAAATAGTCTTTTCTTTCAAAAACCCACATTTTAGAATTTTTCAATTATCATAGCTTACTGGAATTTTGGCTCTTTTCTAGTTTAGAGGTCCCAAAAAAGAATAGAGGTCCCAAAATAAAATAGAGGCCCCAAAAAAGTTTAGTGGTCCCAAGAAAAAATAGAGGTCCAAAACTTAAAAATGCACAGATACCGGAATAATGTACTAAAATTTGAATTGTGTAAGAATTTAAAGTTTTGAGGTCTTATAGCAAAATAATTGTTGATGATATATTTTATACTTCTAATAGGCTTAGGAATGCATATTTTCTGACAATTATCTAAGCCTGAGAAACAGCATAATCACGGAGTGATTACTGTATTGCCCAAATTTTCCTCATTTGTAAATTGGGGTTCATCGGCAAGATGCGAGAGAATTGGAGCTAAAATTGTTAGGAGTAGTCATGTCATCCTATAAGACCTTAAAACTCAAACTACTCGCACAGTTCAAATACTAGTACATTATTCCAACATCTGCGCGTTTTTCGTATTTTGGACCTCTATTTTTTCTTGGGACCTCTATTTTATTTTGGGACCTCTAATTTTTTTTGGGACCTCTAATTTTTTTTAGGACCTCTAAATTTTTTTGGGACCTCTAAACTAGAAAAGAGCCGGAATTTTCAAAGTCCTTGAATTTCTGAGTTTTTAAAAAATTTGGATTTTTTTCAATTGGATTCTCCGCCGTTATTCATCTGCAAAAAATCACATTTTCGGATATTTTTGAAAAAAAAATATTTTTTTACTATTGTTCAAATTCTCTGGTCCCCTTACAAACTTTCTCGAAACCTTCTCTTCTCTATTCTTTGCTTCCTCTAATTGCGTGAAACACCTTTCTCGTTTCTCTTTCCCCGTTTCATCCATCCCCTTCCATCCCCCAATCGGAAGATAATAATTAGACAGATCTCTATCTCTCTCCCCTTTCTCTGCGTCTCTCTGATTTCTGCACTCTCTCGCTTTCTCTGAATTTTTGCGCAACAACGGAAGAAAGTCTTTCGTTTATTCATTTAGAATAAAGATATATGTACGATTTGGATAGAGAGAGAAAGAGAGAGAGAGAGAGAGAGAGAGAGAGAGAGAGAGAGAGAGAAAAGACATCATAGTTTCGTAAAGTTTCATGTGATTGCTAGATATTGGAACGGGAATTTCTGAATTTCTGAATTTCTGAATTTCTGAATTTCTGAATTTCTGAATTTCAAAAATTTGTGGTTTCTGTTCTTGTTTCCTATGCAACTATCCTATGCAACTTCGAGCCAATTTATCTAGATTCTTGTAAAAGATATCAAAAGCTTGTCAACTGATAAAATGTAGCGGTTAACTTGATAAACATTTTATCAGTTGTCCGTTTTTTGATATCTTTTACAAAAAATGAGATAATTGAGCTCAAATGTATATATGCAATGAAACTGGTCGATGCACCATGTCTGCATCTCTCAAAGTTTGTACTAAATGGCTTCTAATTTTGAGCCAATTTATCTCGGTTTCTGTAAAAGATATCAGAAAGTGGTCAACTGTTAAAATGTAGTTGTTAACATGATAAACATTTTATCAGTTCCCCACTTTTTGATATCTTTTATGGAAATTGAGATAAATTGGCACAAATTTGGAAGCTAGAAAGGTCATTTTGTGCCATTTTTGAGCTGTTTTTTGATCATTTTTTTCCATGGATTTTACCTAATTTTTTGGGACTTTTGAGCTATTTTTGAGTCACACTTGGGCCATTTTTCAACTATTTCGAAGCTATTTTTGGCTATTTTTAGCCAAAAATTGTTAGTTTTTTGAGCACGCTACCAGGCAAAAACGAAGATTTCAGTGTAAAAACGAAAGAAAAACGCCTCTTCTCTCCCCATCTAACAGTTGGAATAGGTACATAAAGGTAGGAAGAATGTATTATTGGTCAACAAGTGTATATGTTGTGCACACGTCACCCGTCTCTCTCTCTCTCTCTTTTTTCTGATTGATTTAGTGTAAAGTTTGACCCCTCCACCCGTCACACAGGTGAACACATCTTATAGTTAGGAGAGAAGGTGTCTGGCGGTTCTCGGTTTTTTTCTGTGATTTAGTTCGGCAAATTTTGCAAAAAAAATTACATCGAAATCCTCTTTTCTCAAGCTGTTTCTTGTATTTTGAAGCGGCTTTGTTTAGTACTATTTTTAAGGAAATTTTTGATAACATAGAGCGGTTTTTTACGTTTTTTAAGTGTCAAAAACTTTCTTAACAGGCAGAATTGTGCCCTGGGAATTTTGAAAATTGTCAAAAAACACAAAATTTGACCCTGAAAACCGTAAAAAACAATTTTTAGAACAATTTTGGAAAAAGTGCTCAAATGGCTCAGTGGGTTTTTTCATGAATTTTCTATCAATCTCACGACCCGGGTTCAAACCCCACTGAGGCTAATTATTTTTTGATTTTGTTGCAATGCTCAAAAACGACAATCCAGAGCTTGAAAATAGAAAATTGAGGTTTTTTGAGCATTTTTGAGTTTTTTTGGGGCCAAAAATGGGATTTCCAGCTTTCGAGCTACCAAAAAGTTTTTAACCTGAATTTTTTTGAATTTTCAAAATTGACTCTAATGTAAAATTGTATGCTCTACATTTTTCTAGTTGACCATTTTTTGCTGGGACCTCTAGTTTTTGAGATATGACCCCAAGGATTAGTCAACATGGTGCATCGACTCTCCTGAAAATGACTTTTGGCCGATTTCAGACCATTTCGCCTCACATTTTCCAAAATGTTCAATTGAGATTCTAGTGTAAAATTTTACGTTTCACATTTTTTCAGTTGACCATTTTTTGCTGGGACCTTTAGTTTTTGAGATATACGCTAATTACCATAGGTCACATGGTGCAACGACCTATAAAATTGGGTGAAAATTGGTACTTTTCGACCATTTTTCGTAATTTTTCCAGTATTTTTTTTATTGTCGAAATCCAGATTTCTAGCCATGAATAAACAATTAAATTTCAAAAAATACCTAAAAAGCATCCCAAACTATTGATTTTTGCCCCATTTTTGATAATGTATATACCCATCCATCACTCTCTCCCCCTCTCCTTTTTTTTCAATATAATAACTTTTTTTCTCTTTTTTGTCTTTTTTTTTGTGTCTCATAAGGCAATACAAACATATGAAACTGATAGATGATAACAATAGCTTTTTGGCTGGCTGTTTGGTGTGTTGCCAGTTTTTTTGGCTCTATTTCTCTCTAATTCTCTCGTTTTCTCTCTCTCTCTCTCTTTTCCTTTTTTTTGTCAATTTTAAGGTTAATACCCGCTGATTTAAGAAACAAAAATCGATAATTTTCTTATCATTTCTGATTTTTCCGGGTTAAAAATTGCTGATTTTTGAAATTGAGAATTTTCTGAAAATCTATTAGTGAAATTTTTCTGGATTTCTGAATTTCTGAATTTCTGAATTTCTGAATTTCTGAATTTCTGAATTTCTGAATTTCTGAATTTCTGAATTTCTGAATTTCTGAATTTCTGAATTTCTGAATTTCTGAATTTCTGAATTTCTGAATTTCTGAATTTCTGAATTTCTGAATTTCTGAATTTCTGAATTTCTGAATTTCTGAATTTCTGAATTTCTGAATTTCTGAATTTCTGAATTACTGA